CAGTTTCCATTTTCTGCGATACAAGAGACAAGAGAACCAGCTGATTGTGTTTGCCGATGACACAAACCCGAGGTGGATTACGGCTTCCTGTTTACTGGATTATAATACTGTGGCAGGGGCAGACAAATTTGGCAATATCACCATTGTAAGTGATGCATATTTTTAGATGTTATTTTGTTCATAAACCTAGGATGTAAATGTACATCTTTATAACAGATGAATTTAGTCAACATTCAGTATGTTTTGTGAAGACATTCTATATGATGAAGGCATATATTTTGATAGATCCGACTTCCATCAGATGTAAGTGATGATGTTGATGAAGATCCAACAGGAAACAAAGCATTGTGGGATAGAGGCCTTCTGAACGGAGCTTCACAGAAGGTATTTTTCATTTCCTTTCATTTATCCACTATCCAAACTTACTGTAAACCAACTTTTATTCGCGTGCGAGAAATATTCGCGAGTTTCGCGACCTACTTTAACTCGCGAATATTAATCGCCGCCAACCATTTATTTTGCTTTGTTTTTGTAGAGAATATTTCCTCAGTCGCAAAAATTAATCGTCGCGGATTGATTTCAAACTGACGAATCGTGAATAAAAGTTGACGCGAATAATAGTTGGTTTACAGTACTTGTACTTTATGAATCTTGAAAGTTCTAATTGGTGTGATCATGATTGATTACAACTTCCAGGCAGATGTGGTGATGAATTTCCACCTAGGGGAGATGGTGACCTCTTTACAGAAGGCTACCCTGATACCTGGGGGGTCAGAATCTCTGGTGTACACCACACTGTCAGGAGGAATAGGAATGCTGGTGTCCTTCACATCACACGAGGTATGAGACAAATCTTACACAGATTAAGTATAATTCAATTCAAGGTCTGTATTTAAACAGTTTCAAGAATTCTAATCAACAATGTTTATAAGCATCAGATGTAAAGAGTTTTCAGATGAAGAATAATGAGTTTTGTGCAATATTGTAGGATCATGACTTCTTCCAACATTTGGAGATGTATATGAGAACAGAGCACCCCCCTCTGTGTGGCCGAGATCACCTATCCTTCAGGTCCTACTATTTCCCCGTCAAAGTATGTATATCAACAATGCTCTTCTATATTAATATAATGTATTATGTACGCATGACTCATTAAAGTATATGTATAACACAGCTTAAATATTTTATCTTATTTTACTATGGATTCTACAAACTAGCAGTGTTATGGAAATCTGTGTAATTTTTTGAAGCACAACATATTTTTTTTGATCATTGTAGAATGTGATAGATGGAGACCTGTGTGAGATGTTTAACTCTATAGATCCTGCCAAACAGAAGAGTGTGTCTGAAGAGTTAGACAGGACACCCAGCGAAGTAAGTGTACAAAAAATACCATTCATCAGAATAACTTCATTGTTAGTATTAGAAGTGTTGAGAGGTGTAAGGTGTTTAGACATAAATTCATTATTTATGAATTTACAAGTTTTGAATTTCTATGGTCATTTATTAAAGAGGATTGAAGTGATTCATAAAATATTATAAGTTTATCAAGTGTTGTGCATTAGACAACTTTTCACATTTTGAAAGATTTATTGAAGAGGATTGAAGTAATTCATAAATAAGTTTATCGAGTGTTATGCAATAGACATTTTTTTTACATTTTGATAGGATCTATAAAAAAAAAATGTAAACGATAATGTGCCAGACAATTGTAGTTTACATCTTATCATTGTCCTGGCTTGTGCATCTTTTTCGTGTATCATCTGCCATCATCTTTGGCTGGTGTATGTATTATATGGTTATTGATTTATATTTACAGGTTTCCAAAAAGCTTGAAGACATCAGAACAAGATATGCTTTCTAAGTGGATATTTATTTGTTTCTGTCAAACAGTAGTGAATATACAAAACACTCTGGACTTCCATCAAGCAGTGCCAGGCCAAATAAACCACACAAATACAGAACTGATGTAATTAGTGTATTTCAGGATTTTCATTTCTTTTTATTGAATAGCCAGATCAAATACATGCTTGGCATAAAGTATTAATTCTTTATGGTGAAGTCTTTACAAAGTGTGAAATAGAGATAACTAGTGTGTGGAAATATTCCTGTATCATTTACCATTGAAGAAAAAAGCATTGTAGCATTTTAACCATGCATTTCGTTATGGGTCATCATTGGTCATGTTTGGAATTGTACTGTTCATTGTTATCATTCATCTATCATAAGATCTTGACATGCATACATGTTAAATAAATGTACATAAACATTTTAAAATGTAAAATTACATGCTGATTTTTTCTGAATTAGTGTTTTATGAATGTTATGAATAAATAGCATACAACTATTTGAGAGATTGACAAAATAAACCAAAAAACAAAAAAAAAATGTGGGTTATTGTCAACTGCACAACTCAGGATACAAATCAATGAAAAGATTTTCTGTGCGAGAGGTTTCAAGGTGTGTTTTCTCATGAGGAAAATGAAAGTTTGTAACCCTTTCAGGCTGTGTTTGTATAATCAAGTTTACATGTACATTGTGTATTGATGGTTCTTTGTACCAAATATAGGGACACTACTTGTATTAGGCTGTAGATTTTTGAAAATGCTCAAAATGGAAGGGTTATTAGATTTATAGACACAGGGACTGCTAATCATCAGATTTTGTAAATTATACAGCAAGTACGTGACTGCATTGCCTTTCTAGAAAGCTGTTGCAAACACTGCTCTCAACTCCTCCACAATCGTCTGTGTCCTGGTTATAGGACATTTTACAGTAATGATGTATGATAAAATATACATATGGTATTGATTTTTGAAATACGGATGTACATGGTAAGTTCATTGTTCAGCAAGGTGCAAGAGCCTTAAATGGTGGGCATGTTAGATTTGGTGAAGTCACATTCCTCAATACCATCGTTTGTCAGTTATTGTCTAGAAGAAATTGACACCAAAGATGAGCAGCAAAAATTATCACATATATTGCTGTGTAGGTTTGATACCCACACTGCAGATGACTTGACATTTTAATGTTGCTAATGATGGATTTATAGCGACCATTAAAATGTGGCGGCATTGAAGAAATATGAATGTGTGTGTTGAATCATTTTATTAAAAAAAATCAATACATGTACATTGAAATATACAAAAATTCTACGGATTTACATGTAAATAAAAAATCATTCAAATGGTACACAAAGAAAAATCAATATTTATACCAGTTTTGGATTTTTCATAGACATGTCAAAATGCTACTTGGCTTTGACATATGATCTGATATGAGAAGAATCATGAAAAGGTAGATTTCTTGATTATTTACAAGTGTCTGATGTTTCTTACATATAAAATATGGGATTACTGTTTTTAATCTAATAAAACAAAGGAATTAACTAAAATGAAAAAATTAATAAAATGACTTCATTCTGTGAACTGTAGTGTTTCCTGACCAAGAATAGGATTGTTCACACTTGTATTTTTTTTTTTCAATCAATTGAAAGCATGCAAAAGAAGGCAGTAATTTGGCATGATTTATTTATTTATTTTATTTTATTTTTTATGGAAGGGGGGGGGGGGTTCAGATGAATTAGTTGAATTTGATTCGTCTCAAAACATTTGTTAAAAAACACGGTTGCCCCCTGAATGATGAAACCACGTCTTCACAGCTCGATAGAACTTACCAACCGTCAACATTGCTCAGAAACGGGTGATACCCTCCACCCCCACCCCAAAAATGACTGTGCATAGTCTATACGCGCGCTTCACCTTTATTTGTATTTGTTAAAATATTTAGTATGATATAATAACTATTGCATGTAGCTGAGGGTAACATTGAACACCCCCCCCCCCCCCATCGAAACCCATTGTCAGCCTCGGCTTCGCCTCGGTTGACAGTGGTTTTCTTGGTGTGAAATTTATCAGTGTTACCCTCCAGGGCATAGTCTTAGTAGGGAGTTCAAAGGGGGGGGGGGCGAGAGATCCCTCGTTGAAAAATTTTGGGCATATAAAATACAAAATTCTGGGTCTCTTTAAAATGAAATTTCTTTCAGTGTAATTAAATTTAGAACACGAAGAAGAGATTTATCTTAAAAGTACATGTATCCAAAAATTAATAATTTAATAATTTCTTTATTGCATAATACACTCATATAGGTCAAGCAATACAATACAAAAAAATTAAAATTAATAATCAGACACATTAAATCAAAGTTTTACAACAAATAATGAAGAAATTTACATTGTTCTGAAAAAAAAGCTAGTATACCTACAAAGAATTTAGATGAAGTTCAAGTAAATACGAGTGGACAGCCATAAAACTTCATTTCTTTTCATGCTGCATGTAATTCTTTTAAAAGATACTGATATTGAATGATGTTTCATATCTATATTTAATTAATTACATTTAGAAATTTTAAAGAAAGTTTATAAGGAGTCCTGCAATGGAACAGCCGAATGTGCTATTCTAGCTATTGCAGGTTATAACTTTGCCCAGGTTGGTGGTAATTTATATATGTATATATATACATTATGATCTCTATCAGTGGCGAAAATTATAAATTTAGTCTTTTACTTTCTGTCCGACTTTTTTATATTTCTGTTTTTATAATTGACATTTATTTATTAATCTGAAAAGAAATTTCAAAGGTGTGTGTGTGTGTGCATAGAAATACATATGTATTTATATAGTTTAGTTTAGCTCTCAATATTCCACAATCAGTACTGACCAAACCCCGGCTACTTTGATAAATCGTACTTGTAAGTTTATTCTATTAGACTAATATCTTGTAGACCTGTGTATCATATTTTATCTATCTATTTATTTTCAAACTGTTCTGCGTTTCATAACAACCAGAGTTTCCGTGCATAATACTTTACCAAGATCGAGATATTGTTTTTTAAAACACATTCTTTAGTTTTCAAGCATCAAATTTCCCGGGAATTCGTTAGTCAATATCATTCGTGGTTTTATGATTTCCGCAATACCCTAATGACGTAGTGCGCAGTTGTATATGCGCACAAGGACCTACCGAAAATGGAGTATGTATTGACATGTACGATGTTGGTAACGTAAAACTTAGTAATTTTAGCTATTTTTACAATGCAGATGTAGGGATTTTTAAGTGCTGTATCGCAAATGAGTTTCAAGATGTCCAGTTCAAACAGATTCCCAAGAAGATCGCGTGGGGATTTTGAGATAGCAGGTTTATACGACCTCGAAGAGACGATTGGCAAGGGCCACTTTGCAGTTGTGAAGTTAGCCCGACATGTGTTTACAAATGAGAAGGTTGCTGTTAAAGTTATAGACAAAACAAAATTAGATGATATTTCAAAATCACATTTATTTCAAGAAGTACGTTGTATGAAACTAGTCCAGCATCCAAATGTTGTGAGACTATATGAAGTGATAGACACCCAAACAAAACTGTATCTTATTCTTGAGTTGGGTGATGGGGGTGATATGTATGATTACATAATGAAGCATGAAAAGGGTCTACCTGAAGACAAAGCTAGACGCTATTTTAGACAAATTGTAGAGGCAATTTCATACTGTCACAAACTTCATGTGGTTCACCGAGACTTGAAGCCAGAAAATGTAGTGTTCTTTGAAAAACTAGGCATTGTGAAATTGACAGACTTTGGTTTTAGCAACATGTTTAATCCAGGAAAAAAATTAGAAACGTCATGTGGTTCTTTAGCATACTCTGCACCGGAGATTCTTCTTGGTGACTCCTATGATGCTCCTGCTGTTGGTAAGTAAATAAGTGTGAAGTTAGTTTTATTTCACCATTTATGGCATTTATGTGTACTAATCTTCTCTGATTACTAATGAGTGTGCCAAAAAAGATGCTCAAATTGAGTCAATGAAAAATGAAAGCAAAACACAGGATCTTTGGATATGGGAACTATGTTAAATTGTCTCTATTAGATACAGGGCTTATGGCTCAAGAATGATAAAGGTAAACTCCTTTTTATACATGTGGTTTAAAGCTGAAGTTTCTAACTAAATCTTTAGTTATATCAAGACATTGGAAATCTCTATAGATGATATGTAAATATTATGATTTTAACCATGGTATTTTTGCATGCACTTAAAATATATTCTTTGCATAGGATTATGTTGCATTTGGACAGTGCCTTGCCTACTGTTGCTGTCTAAAACATGAATACAGAATTCAGAGTTATAAGAACATTCTAAGTTTTATAGAGTATTAACCTATTTCAGATTAGGAAATCCCATTTACATGGATTAAATTTACATGTTAGATTGAAACAGATGCACCAGCTATATATAGCTTTTAAAAACTTATTTAAAAGTCCAAGTGTATTTGCTTCATTTCCCTAAAATATTCTTTAATTTACATGTAATTAACAGAGAAAAAGAAAACTCATTGGTGTAAAGAGTAATGTCTTTTCAAAATGTCACACCAACAGCCTGAGGAAATTAAAGAAAGAAATGTGTAAAACTGTCGACACTTCAGATGTTGACATATTTTGACACATTATCTTGATATCATATCATTAGTATTTAATAATAAATTTAAATCGTACATTGATTCAGATTGAAAATATGAATGGTACTGTTCTGTTTATTTTATTAAAACAAAAGCTATCATCATTGATCATGATGAAACATTTTTGGATATTGAAAATAATGCTCTATCCCCTGATACATGAATATTTTGGGTAGTACATGTATAACTAAAATAAGATTAAAACAATCACTAGCTATCATCTTTTCATTATTAGTAAGTGATCAAATTAAAGCTTTCGAAATGCTGGTGGGTATCATATGAATTTTTTTTATAGTACTCTGTGTAGGCAAAGATGTACATGTATGGATGTGACGTACGTGTTAAGACCACTTGTAATAGTGATCATTGCAGTATGGAGGAGAAAGATTAAGGTGTCATTTGCCGAAGCAGTTAAAACCACATGGCATAAATGTCAAAGTCAGACATATCATACAACCATCGCAATCCAGTATACACAGTGCAAGAAATTGTTCTTGCCTCTAGTACCTGTTGCATTCTCAAGAGATAATTGGTCTCTCTTTTGACAGAAAGATATGATGCTAAGTATTTGAATGTAAACAAGAAGGAGAGCATTATTTTTAGACTGCAGATAAAATATGCCAAGTTAAAGAGATAACACTGAAATCTCATCTACACATCAAAGTTTCATCACACAGGAAATTCTTTATCAAAGAGTTCGACACTGCTTTATTTTCAAGGCTTTTACCAAATCCTGCATGCGGAACATTGTAATCGTTTAGACAAGTACATGCTTCTACAAAATACGTAATTATAAAGTGCATGTTTCCCTGTCTCAGAACATGCATTCTTGTAAATGTTTTGACACTATTTTGCTCACCTTTTTATATTTTAACCCAGAATCTATACACTTTGGCAGTCTGTCAAGATCTGTAATTGAGATAGTGAATGAACTAGGCAGTTTATGAATGAGTGGCTTTAGCCCAAAGGTTTTAAGGAGCTAGGATATCAGTTGGACCCTACACAACTGGTTGAGACATATGTTTTCCTTGGTAAATCCTGGCTTTATCTGGGTACAACACTTGTCTAAATAAGAGATCAGTAACTGTGTATTTTGATTATTGTCGTGTTATTCTATCATTCATTACTGAATACTTGTAAATAAAACATTAGCTCGAAACAGTGAGTAGAGGAAACATATGTATTTGAGTATGAAAAATTAGGAGGTAATAGGTCTTAATACCCCTTTTATATTGCAGAAATCATACACGATAGCAGGGATTTTTATTTAAGTAATATTTGGTAATTTATTTTTTAATGGTATTAAAACCTAACAGATAGAATATTTTTCCAGTCAGTTCAGGTGTTAAGTGGTTGATCACTACTTTGACTCGTGTATATGTCCTTTAGCTAGCAGCTATGGATTCTGAATCGATGGACCTGAACTAACATCATAATCGGGAAGGAAAACATGGAAAAAGGGAAAAATTTTACTTGTTACAAGTAGCTGTTTTGTGGAAATGCTATGTTAATTCCTATCATTCACAAAAGAGTTGGTTAAAAAAAATGATAAGTACCATACACTCATTCATTTTCATATTTTATATATGTGTGTATAGAGTGTATTGGTTCAGAGTACACAAATGGCATAATATTTTTTTGGGAAAAAAAATATTTATCATCTGAGAAATCTTTAATTTACAGCAAAACATTTTAAATGCTTAAGAATTATTTTAAGTTGAACACCAGACAAGAATGATTAGATAAGGTGCATCATGGTTTTAATTTTGAATACAATTAGTGGATGTTTAAATTTAAGTACTTATAGAAGAGAACATTGGAATTTGGTCAGAATTTATCCATCTTAGTGGAAGCATCAATGTAGATCAGTGTAAACATGATAAAAGAAGTTGTCAGATCTAATCTAAAATTATAATTAACACACAAAAAGGAAATTTTGCTAAAATCATTAATTAACCACAGAAGGCAATTTAATGTGCATTTGGTAAACATATTTATTAATAAGTGCATGTTTGGTATTTTCATTTAATCATGTTAATAAGGCTTTGGGTCAGGAGGTCTTTATATACACAGATAAATGAGGTGACTTGTCAAAAAAGACATGATTTTTTCCACTTCCTGCTTTTGATAGGTTGTTTGTGTATTCATGCTCATGAAAGGCAAATTTAGGTTTTGATTATTGATCAAAAAAGGACTATTGAAACAGAACTTCAAATTGAACGAGGTCTAATTAACCTAGTTACATGAAAGGTGACAAGAAAATTTGATTTTCTTCATGGTGTTCTAATCAATAAGGCCATGGGAGTGGGGAGGGAGAAAAAAACTGTTATTGAACTGTGGAATTGATAAATTATTAATAAAACTAGTTCTGAGGTTAGTGAGGTATTAAGTAGCTTTTTTATTTCAAAGGAATTTTGAAGCTTGGATGGTTGTGGAGTTCTAAAATTATTTAATAATGTGTCAACACAGCATCACTTTATAAAACTGAGCTTAACAAAAACTATGTGCACATGTTTTCAGGGATGGTATTTTTTAAAGAAATGTTTAATTATAGTTATTAGTTAAACTTTATAAATTATGCATATTTTGAATGAAAATGGCTGTTACATTTAACCATTGGGCACATGCAGTTAAGCATGTTTAAGCTACTTCTTGATTATCATTAAGTAATTAGCATAAATTGGGAATGTAAGCTAATTTTACTGCATTAAAAAAACAAAAAACTTTGAATATAGCCTTGCATGTGTACATTTATGTAGATGTGGTTTAACTTATAGTTTATGGGAGGGTTGTTTGATAAAATGTTTAAATATAGATAATACTAGTATTCATTCTCTGTATCATTTATATAGACTTGTTTACATGTAGGACTCTATTTAACTATTTAGTGTAAAGGGGTTCAACTTTCAAGGAAGGTCATCAATTCATTATGATTTTTTTCAGGAAGTTTTGTAATTGAGATCATCATTTTTATAAAATACTTGATCTATAGTGAGAATTTGTAAACACTTGACAGTGAGGCAGATGGTTAAATATAGAATTTCACTAGATAAACTGTAAAATTTTATAGAATGTGGTTTGTAAACACAATCTGGTGCGGAAGTTTTACAACTGTCATCTGTTTGGCTGGCGTAAACCTATGTTATCTGTATTTGAGAGGATTGACGCAAGTTTGAATTAAAACACTGGCTAGATATGTATGATAAAATTGTAATTTTAAGCTCCAAGTCTGCTAAAGTCTGAGTAAGGTGTTGATACCACATATTGGAAGGAAGTGAAATGAAAAAATACAGCTGTTTTTTTTTTTTTAATAACACACAAAAGGATTCTCATTTATTTGCTTTTCCTTGACCTTAGTCACTTTATAGTGCAGTTTATATTTACTTGCTGAGTGATTTATTTAGATTATAAATTTAAGGTATAATATAGTACATTCTACATACATCCAAAAGTGCAGAGTTTTAAAAGGACCAATGCATACATGTAGTGTACAATGCACTTAGTACATAACGTAATACTGATGAAAGGTCAAGTTGAACATGCTTCTCAGTTTTCAAACAAACTGCATATTAATTTATATCAAATAATATTTTGTGGACAGGGAAGATATCATTTTCAGACTCTCAGAGTACAGTTTTTAGTTTGCCATGACAAAGGTCCAAGAACTTTCCTGATATTTTTGGCATAGTGTCACTAAAGGTCTTTATTGGAAAATATGTAGTTTTTTAGACAGTCATCGAAATCAGAAATATGTGACCTGTCACTAGAAAACACATCATCCTAAGTATATACATGTATATACACATAGTAAATTTGCATACGTAGTCATTCAGGTCATCTGCAAACTTATTTTGTTAAAAATCAGTCTGATTCCCACACAAGTACTCTGAAGCTTATATTAAAAGATGCTAAGGTTCCTCATTGACAATACCTTTGCAGTATTTGGAGACCATGTTTGTTGGAACTGCAGTAAGTAATTGATTGTAGCAGACCTGTTTTTGTACTTTGTATGAAGCAGAATTTATTCAAAAAAAATATTCAATTTTATTCATACATTGATTTGATTTATATAACCTACTGAACTCAAAATGAAAGACACCACAGTGTCTGGTACATCTATTTCATATTTGGACATTTTACTATAGAAAAAGACATTGGTGGCAAACTGACAACTAAACTTTATGAGGACTTCAACTTTTCTATCGTCAACTTCCCTTATTATGTAGTAATGTACCATCAACACCTGCATATTGAGTTCATGTCTCCCAGTTGATTTGATACACAAGAGTATGTTCTCTATACAAACAATTTCTAAAGCAAGGCAGACTATTGACAAGTAAGTTGATGATACAAGGGTATCATCAATCTCATTTAAAGTCAATATTTTGCATATATTCTATGGTTGATACGATGACCTTGCTTGCAAATACAATCTATTGTTAATTTGAATGTTGACTGACATCTCTCATACAAATTGTTAGGTCATTATTTTCACATTGAATTGTCTATGGGTTTTCGGGTTTACCCAATCATGATATGGAGCACACTGCAGGTATGAATTGTTGACAGGAGATACCTGCTCCTCCATGGCACCTAATCCATTATCTGTTTCCAGTGGTCTGTATTGGCTCTGCTCATAATTTGTCCTGTTTTAATTGACTTTAGAGAATGAACACTGTTTGTGATTTTCACATTTCAAATATCAAATACTGCAGCAATGCAAGTTTAGGAAGAATTTAGGGTAAAATGTCTGGCATTGAGTTTTCAAATGGACTTGCGGTTTGTACCATAAAATTCATCATCATTCATGTCCAAACATTTATTTTGCTGTAATTTTCAATATGAATATCAAGTCTAAATGATTTAAACCTAACAGGACTAAAAAAGCAGTGACCGAATAAAAGTATCTTCAGTATATTCTTCTCTCTGTCTTCGACAGGCAGCTTCCGTTATTGCTGCTATGTGTCCAATCCCATTATTATACAATCTTTTCGTTGATCCTATCAGAAATCTCGAGATTTTTTTTTTGCAGAGTCAGCCTGTTATATCTAGGCATCCACTCAGCCTCTTTATTGATTGCTTTTCAGCAAAGCAGGTCAAACTAGTGAACCGAATGGGGAGTTTTTTCATTAAGTGTTATACTCATTTATATGCTTTCATATGGTTTATACTGAACTCATCAGATTTGTTAAGAAGTGCTCACACAATTGATTTTTTTCCCTAGCCAAACAATTACTCTTTACAAAAGACCAAAGGCCTGTCATTTCCAATTGACTGTGCACAGCAGGTTGTCATTGGAACAGTTATTAAAATAGGTTTTTCATTTTAAAATCTTTGCAACCTGTCACTAAGATGTTTACAGTATTAGGGCTTTAAAGGAGGGCTGTTATCTTGGATAATATATTAACAGTAAGGTAGTTGGTAATTTAGGTAAAATTGACAAGATAAATAAGTGAAATGTCAGCTTGTCGCACATATGGAAAATGATCTCATGAGTAATGTTGCATGAAACCCTTCTTGAGCCATGAAACATTTTTAACATTTTTGATTACAGAATCAATATTTAGGAAAATGTCATTTCAGCATGCAGAGTATTTAATTAGAACAAGCCTGATCTTTATTTCATTTCATAGATTTATGCCAGCAAGCTCCTTGCAAAGTTGATGCTCTTAAGTTGCATTTGAGGATCCACCTTAAATCAGAGCAATTATGCTATATATATATTTGAACGTTTATGCCAGTAGTTAAAATATGAAATGTTGAGATTCTAATTAGGGCTGGGACGATACAACTTTTTCTATATCGATACGTATCCCGATATTTGAGCCACGATACGATATGTATCACGATATGTTTAATTGGTTATAAATTCTTTTTTTATATTGAAATGAACAAAACATTTCTTCACAAATAAGAATAATTTATTCAAAGAAGTTGCATATCTGTTGTAAAACTTAATTATTTTGCACAAGTGGTCTTAATTATTATGTATTTCATATTTATATTTATAATTAAGCATATTTATTTTATATATTAAACCCAAAATGTTAAGTAAACAAAGAAAAACATAAGTCAGAATTTTTTGGGCGATATGTCGATATTTCTTCATACGTATCGATATGCGTATCATCCTCACATTGAATCGATATTATCGATATCTCGATATATCGTCCCAGCCCTAATTCTAATCATGTTTTTCTTGTGGTGTTTCAGATGTGTGGAGTTTAGGAGTGATACTGTACATGTTGGTCTGTGGAGAACCCCCCTTCCAGGAAGCCAATGACAGTGAGACACTGACGATGATCATGGACTGCAAATACCTGATTCCTGATCATATATCCAGTGCATGCAAAGAGTGGGTATTTATATTCTGCTAATTGATATTAATGCCACAAGGAATTTACACTGCATGTTTTTGTAAGGTTGTTTCTAAGAAGTGGGTGGAATAGCTAACTATGTATACTATTTTTGTTTCATTTCCTGTTCTTGGAAGAAGATTAAACAAATAAATTTGTATATCAGAAATTAGTTTTCTATAAATCGCTAAAATGTTTAAAATATTTATTTCCTGTTTTTGCAAAAATTGCATATCGGTGTAGGATATTACATGTTTATTATCAGAAGATTTCAAAATCAACTTTTTTAATGGGAAATTTTACTCCATAAAATTCCATTGTCATCAAAAGCTGTTTCATGTGTTTACATTAAATCTGGGACAGGGGGATTTTTCCTGCTACGCTCAGTCCTTAAAACTGATCCCTCACAATTCAAATATATAAGGGTGCTAAGAAGCTAAGACAAGAAGATTTTAGACATAAATGATGCTCAAAGAGAGCATTAAATTGTTTTGCATTATTAATATCTTTTAATGAAGGGCTTTTGCATCAGACTCGAGTTCAAAGACCTCTCACCATCTCCTTTAACTGATAGGACAGTCACAAGCACTATACGTAAAGGTTAATGGTCAGAGCTGTAGAGTCTGTGTCAGAATATCATTTTAGTACTCAGTGGTGGAAAACAGAATGAGATTTAATCTTTGATTTAAAATTTGATATAATTTGTTTTTAAACCCTTCTCAATTTTATGTCTTTTTATTTGAAGTATCTTTTTGAAGATACAGCTTCTGAGTTTACTACATGTACTTGAGACACACTTTTCAACACATTAGTTTTCCTGCAATCATGTTCAATATTTGTAAGGAAATCAAGTTACGAATATTAAAAATTTATCCAAAAGTAGTCATGTCAGTGAGTGTGCATGTACATAATTATTGAAAAGAACACTCACCTTTTTGTGTATCATATATAAATTTGTGTTAACACAACAGTACAATTAGTACATACAGATATGAAAATAAAAAAAATTCTCTAGAGGGATGTTAATCAACAAACGAGCAGACAAACAATTGTTCAAAATTTGAGCGTGAAAAGTTTTGCTCAGAATATGCTGTGATGTTTTATGCAGTGAAACTTGCCTAATCCAGACACCACTGGTTCTATAGGAATCAGGTGGATTAGACAACATTTCAAATTAGACAACATTCCAGATTAGACAGCACTTTTAACAATTGAATTTACTGAAAGGGACTTAACCCATATCAAAAAATAATACATAAAAGTATATTTTTAATATATTTTTAATACAATCATTTTCGTATTGTTTAAAATTAATACAGAAAAAATATATTTTTTTTGTATCACCAAAAAATAGGTAGATTATTTTTGTATTAAAATCTGACTTTGATTTTTTACAGGGTATTATTTTTGTATTTTTTGGGACTTAGATTATTTTCAGTATATCATTTTTGTATTTTTGTGGACTTAGTTTTTTTCAAGTGTATTTTTTCTGTATTAAAATTGAACTTAGTAATTTTACAGAAAATTACATACAGTTAATCTGTATTATTTTTGTATTAAAATTGAACTTAGTAATTTTACAGAAAATTACATACAGTTAGTCTGTATTATTTTTGTATTAAATTTGGACTTAATAATTTTTCAAAAAATACTATACAGTCAGTATGTATTTTTTTTTATATTTATTTTGGACTTAGTGTTTTCTTTTACTGAAATTTGTATTTCTTTGAACTTAGTAAAATTTACAGAATGTCCTTGCAATAAGTCTGTTGGAATTAATATTTTTTTTTCTCAGATTTTATTAATTAAGACCACTGCTGTAAAAGGTTGCTTTTATACTATTCACATTAAATTTAATGGCTATTTAGAACAGAAAACTTCAGTAGTTTAAATTTGTTAACTAAACAATTTCATTTTTAAAACATGTCTTTACTAGGTGTGAAATTGTCATTTGGAAAGGGATAGATACGTCTAAGGGGACACCTGTGCTGTACATGATACTTGTAAACACGCGGTAAATTTTGAAGCTTCAGAGTTTCAGACTTTCTTTTGTGTTGAAAATTTTACAGCGTGTTTACAACCAAGTGTTTACAACTATCGCCAACAGCACAGGTGGCCATCTGCAGGCTAACAATAGACGAGTACATGTTATACTACTCAAAGAAATAATATGATTTACCTGTGAAAACACATCCCAACAAAAAAAAAACAACAACAACATGGGGAGTTCCACTAATTACAGTACCTACGATGTTTTCTTGACTATACAACTCAATTTAGTATACGTTATATTTAATTCAGTACGTATTACAATTACATGGAATAGAACTATTTAATTATCCGCCTTTAAAAAAAAATTAAATAAGAAATTATTACGAAAGAATTTCATGAAATAATATAGAAAATGTTGTGAAATTGGTGTAAAGGATAGTTGTTCAACATTATTTCAATCTCTGGTACCGTACGTATGAGTTAAGTTGTCCGTCAAAAAGGCTATATCTTATGTATCTCCCGCTCGTTTTGATCATTATATTTGAACTTTATGGTCTACTTCACAGGTCAACTTGAATATAAAAATGGCTGCTCTCAGCGGAAATGATGACCGGAAATAACAATGTTTCGTAATCGGTAAATTCCGTAAGGAATAAAAGAATGATTCTGATGATTAAATTGAACATCGTTTTTTTTTCTAACATAATTTTAGGTTTGTTCACTTGATTCAAGATATTTAAAACCATGTAAATATGTTTTCTCTAACTGTTCCGATCTCGACATCGGTAATTTTCGTATATATGACACAATATGATTGGTCAGATTTTAAAACTCTTCCGTACTGTTCTCTGATTGGTCAACAATATTTCACCCACGCCATTTTGAAAATTCTTCCCGGGACGTGTTGAGAAAGCTGGAGGTGATTTTGAATAAACTAGCATTTGCTCGCGAGTAAAATGGATCGAAAAACAGAAGTTCAGCATAATCATGGTAAACAGGATCATATATATGAACCAAGGAAAGCGAATACATAAGGAGACTGACGTTTTTTAGGCATCGTATCAGGACTTTTCTGGTGTAAACAACGACAGTTGCGGTAAGATTATGTATATTTTAACACATTAAAGTTTCAGTTTTTTAAATAATATCTTAGTACAAAGATAGAGGATCAAAGAATGCCCTTTTTTACCCATTTTGTAGTATTGTAGAAAGATAAAATAGTACGGTTATTGGCCATGTGGGGAACAAGGGTTTTTGTGATAAATTCTGATTGGGGAGGTAGGGGTGGAAGATAGGGGTAATTTTCAAGCTTTCGGCTTCCTAGTTCTAATTCATTCCAATTTTTTCAAGTTTACCAGAGACGAATTATTTATTTTCCCTTCAAAAACAATTCTGTAATTTGTATAAACTCAAATTTTTTTCGGGGGGGGGGGGGGTAGGTTGGGTTCGGGGAGGGGGCAGTTTATTTAAATAACATTGGGGCACACAATTTGTTTACTTTTTCAACATTGACAAGGACAGATTGTTTATTACAAATATTTTTTTAAAAATATTTTATAAATCAGTCCCCCCCCCCTTTTCTTATCCAGATTGTCAAATCAAATGGTTGTCCCCTAAGAAACCCCAGATTAAAGAAAAGTAATTTCAATGGTACAATTGTATGGAATTTGGTGAACTCTGCTGGATCTTTTAGAATTTCAATTTATAATTATTGTTAATTTTAGTCAGCAGAACATTGAAGAAAAGCTGATTAGTCATGGAGGAAGAAGATCCCTCTCAAGAAAGTATTGCAGGTGTGTGAGCTAAACAAATTCTATAGAGAATTATTTTGGATGTGAAAATGTGTGTTTTGTTGAGGTAATGGTTCATTAAATTTTATTATTGATTTTATTATTATATCATTCTGTTCTATATTTCACAGTGATGAAGTCAGATGAGATGACAGGTTGTGTGATTTGAAGATGGACTTCTGCAACAAAGTAAACACTCCTCTACCTTTTTCCATACAAAAGCAGAGAGAAGATTGAAACATTTGGTAAAAGTACAAAGAAAACAGGATTAGTTTAACTTGTGAAAAAGATCAAGACTATTGAAGAGCAGATTATATGTAAAAAGAAAGACTACAATTGGTAGCTGAATCAGTAGCCTGGCCACATTTATTACTTTTTAATTAGCTATTTGTACATTAAAAGTAATTTGACTGAGTTACTCAAATTATTATTTAAAAAATATTTCAAATAAATAGAAGATTTTTGAATAACAATCAATAGATGCTGTTAAGAACCTCGATCTCCAACCCCTTTTCTTCAAATAACAATTTTTTGCCCATGATAATTTTTGTAGTTTTTAAAACTGTTTTGTATTATTTTAAGCATTTAAATGTATTTTTTGTCTATCATTCTTGTACTTTTTTGATATTTTTGAAATACAATCCTTCATGCTGAGAAAAATACAAAAACAATACATATTAATACAAAATTAATACATTCTATATTTGTTTCATACTTTTTTGTGTACTGTATTATTTTCATATTTTAAATCTTTTTTGTATTTTTAATTGTTCCAGATGAAAAAATACAAAAATAATATATGTGATACAAAATTAATATATTTTATATTTTTTTTGTATTTTAATTCTTAAAGGTGAAAAAATACAAAAATAATATATGCTAATACAAAATTAATACATTCTGTATTTTTTCTATACTTTTCTATGGACTGTATTATTTTTATACTTTGGAGAGGAAAATAGAGAAATAATACAAAAGTACAAAAACAATACATTTTTACAGGTCATGTGTATCATTTCTGTATTATTTCGAAAAAATAAAGTATATTAAAAATATATTTTTCTGTGTTTGGCTTTTAGAAAGTCTATTATTTTTGACCTAAATTGGAACCAAGATTTAGAGGGTTCCAAATTTGGTCATTAAAAATATACTTTTTTTGTATTATTGTAGTATTTTTTTCTTGTATTATTTTTGTATTCATTTTCGATATGGGAAAGTTTACACCATATTAGGCAAGATTCAGAATACACAATATCCGGATTAGACAGTTTGTTTGATCGTATAAAGAAGTAGGAATCCAACGCAAACTGTTATCAAAACATGCTTAGATGGTTTTTGTCATGTAGACCTATTCAGATTTGTTTTGAAGCATCTTAAAGATTCAAGCTCTTGTTTTTCATACCACTTAATCAGATAATTACAAGGAATGAGGTCGATACTGACACTTCAAAGATTCAAGCTCTTGTTTTTCAGACCACTTATTAATAATCAGATAATTACATAGAGGTTGGTAAAATTTGAGCACGTACATGTACATATTATTGTCAAATGATTATACATGTATTAACAACTCATGTTCTAGGCATGAGTATAACAAAATATTTTGATTATAACTACAGCATTGTGCAGAGTAAACAGTAATAGATTAGGAACAGAATACATTGCAAAATGATAACATTCATTCTTAAAATTTCATATTTTATTCTGGTCTGTAGGAAATTAATTTTAATCAATGAATTTAAAGAATTTCACATTCATTTGATGTGAATATATACAACCGGGTGTTATGTCAGAATTATACACAGTTTATTTTATAATATTAATTCCGAAACATTCAAGGGGGGGGGGAGTGCATATTGTTAGTTTTCTTGACACAATGCATCAGTTTTCTTCATAAGAATTCAAATTTTATAGAAGGACTTGATTATCAGAAAAATACACATTAATTTTGTGGTCATTGTTTTGTCACTGTTTTGTATGATTGTATATATGTCCATCCTTTAAATACTGGTACTAGTAATGCTTACACAGACAGTCAAACCTCGTTATCTTGAATTTGATGAGATGGAGAAAACACTTTGAGATATCTGAGGGTTCCGAGGGTTCGAGATATTAAGAAGGTACAAGACATAAAGAAAAGGTGCTTGGGACTCCAGATCACTTCGACATATCCATGGTATTTTAGATATCTGTGTTTGAGATACCAAAGCTCAGCTGTGTATGAGTGATTTTTGCTAAGCATAATTACTGTATAATTTTCACCCTATCATATTTGCAAAGGATTTCATCCCGTTTTAAGACTAGGTCGAACAGTTGTGTTCACAGAGGGATAACTTTTTCTCTTGTCAGATGTCACAAGTTTAGTCTTGAATTCTCCCACTGACAATGAGGGCGAAAGGGGAGAAAATAAAATGAGGATGGGGAATTTCCCTGTATTACTGAAGAAAAATGTATAAATTCCAAATGAAAATGCATTTTTTGTCAATTTATTGTATTGTACCTGTTGTAGTCTAGTTGTACTTAGTTCTGTCTCTCTCTCTCTCTCTCTCTCTCTCTCTCTCTCTCTCTGGTTCCTAATCACTGCAAGCCATACATAAGTGGCCATTTTTTAAAGATTTGGCATTTCAGAATTTGTTGGGAAAGAGGTGATCTTGCTTGCTTCTGCAAATCTACCATAAAATGAGCACTGTTACTGTCTGTTAAAGAGAAGTTACAATTAGAACTGTCAAATACAGAAATGATTGCTAGCAACTGGTAGTCTTAATTTAGACAAGGAATGAACCGTGTTGAACTGTGGAGTATTGAAGATTGGATCACCTTGATCTTTTACTAGGTTGGACAAAACATTTTCACTTTGAATTTTTATACACTTTATTTCAAATATTATTATACAAGTTTGATGTGTATTGAGTCTACAAGAATTTTTTTGTTTCCAAGTAATTCATTAGTATTTCAAGTAATTCATAAGTAGACCCTTAGGTTTTTCTTTTCAATTACTTATTTTCAGCATATATTTTTTTTCATTTTTAATATATGCTGGAGTAAGCAATTTTGAAACCCAGACAGTTAAAAAATTCATCTTGGGAGTTCACTAGGTGCCATGTGTAATTAAAACCTTCTATGCTGGCTAATAAAAGGAGTTCTACAGCTTCTGATGGTGTTTAATTATTGAATTAAATATCAGTATGCTAATCCAGAGATACAGCAGAATTTTTTTTTTGTTCATACCCAGAAAATCATGAATCAGATTTATTACAGTCATGTTTGCCTTTGTGGAATTAATTGCAATTAATAACAGGTGACAGTTTTCATTCTAAGATTATATGCCACAATCAATACATCCACTGGCAAATGGTCTTCTCATATATTTGAGACCATCAAAATGATTGCCTCTAATCTTCCAATCAATAAACAGGGAAAGTTTCTCGGTATTATACATTAATACATTGATCTGTATGAGAAAGGTGTTAGAAATTTAGGAAATTATTTGGGATATAATTCATTAAGACTAGGGAAAAACTTACGGGAGTGCTAGCTTATATTCCCTGAAAACCAGTAGTTTCCGATACGGATAAAGTTGCAATACATCATATGAATTTTTCAAGTCCTTGTACAGTTGTAATGGGTTGTAATTGTTCTCTTGCATGCAATCTGAAATTCAGTATCCTGTGATCCAATGGATCTGTCATGAATTGGATTCAAGATTGTCGCTGACCAATGTATTCCCTTGTCTATGCAGAATTAGAATAATTCATGATTAATGTTATTCACATTTACATTATTTATTACTTCACTCCAATTTCTAACAGAATAATTGACCAGTATGCAGTATTTTGATAAAAAAAAAACTCCCCCAAAATGTGGTTCACCAGTGGTTAACCTTTTTTTCATCGATGATTTAGTTTATTTTTCTACTTAATTTAAATTTTGAACTTCATAAGTGATGATTGCATACAGTATATGTTTTATAAAAGGTTACTGCTAAGGTAAGCCATTTGTTAGACTTAAGGTCTAAAGGTCTTGATAGGTAATAAAAATTTTTCCTTGCACATGGTAGGTTTTTTGGGAGCCTGCTTTTTGGTCCAAGCCCAGAAGTGGGGAATCTCCTACAATTGAGGCTAGTTTTTACATGAGATCTAGTGTTGGTATGATTTCTCTTTATTTATTAGGAAATTTTGGGTCCGGAAATTTTTGGTCTAGTGACATATGTATACATGCAATGGGGGATTTATTTAACATCTAACATTTAATAATGCTTGATTCTATATGGGGAATGTTTTTTTTTTTTTTTTTTTTTTTTTTTTTTAAATAAAGGCAACATTTGTTTTTCTGAGCACACAATAGAAAACAAATTATTAAATTATTCACATTTAGTACATATATGAATAATGTTGTGACACAATATATTGCTGCTTTTAGTGAAAGCACACCCAACTATTCAAAATGTGTTTTCAGCAATAGAAAGTTAAATACCAACTAGTATATTTACCATTGATTCCTGAGCCATATGCTCCCAGACTCTACCCCTACCCCCCCCCCCCCCCCCCCATGGTTCAAATAACATTTATAGTTCCCTTTGAATAGAATTAGAAACATTATTTGTCTATTCCAGTAGCTTATTCTTGAGGGGTTTTTTTCATAAAAAAAAATTATTTAAGACATTGTTTTTGTAAAATCACAAGAAGATCATTTAATTATTTAATTTTTTTCCATTTGCAGTCTGATTCACAAAATGTTACAAAGAGATCCTGCCCATCGTGCCAGATTAAATGACATTCTTAACCACCAGTGGTTGTGTACTGGGGATTACATGGCCCCAACAGTCCCCCTCATCTCAAGGGAACACCTGTCTGAAGAGGATCACAATTATTTGATTGAGAAAATGGTGGAAGGCAGCATAGCCACCAAGGATGAAATTCTTGGGTAAGAGAAGAGAAAATGGGTGGGGCCACAGTTTTACATGTCAATAAGACATACTAAGTGTTGTCTGTTTTAAACCATTGTCCATTTTCCCAGATGTCAAGATGTTCAATAAGTATATGTTAATTCACTTACTGATCCGATGTGCTTGATATTGTAGATCATTAGACAAAGACTTGTATGATCACATCACAGCTACCTATTACCTGTTAGCAGAGCGCAAACTGAAGCGACACCATCAGGAAATGGCCCTAGCTCATATTCGGAAGCATTCGGCCAAACCTGAAAACAGCCCTGTTCACAGTATCAAGCCCTCCCTGGAGCTCTCCCTTTCTCCACGGTATGGTATAGGAACATGGCAAAGGAATAGAGTAGTGTCCATTTTGGACAAATTTTACACAGCTTAAATATTTGTACGCTTAGATACAGGTAAAAGTTATATTGTGCAACTTTAAATTACTGAAAATTTGCACAATGATTTTGAAGAAAAAAATATGTGGATGAATAAAAAAAGATTTTCAAAAAACATTTTATATTACTGTCAGAAGTGAAAATTTTTTATGACTGTGTCAAGAGATGCTAGACATTGGTGAGGAGAATGTGTTTACCTGGTGAGATTAAGAATTCTGTTAAAGGACACTAAATTCATGATGTGTACTTTGAGAAAAGATTCAAATCTTCCACAAGGGATGGTTAAATTACTTATTGGCATATTGATCTGACAATCCTATTTGTATGAATCTGTCATACTTATAAGACTGTTGAGGTCATTTGTATGTAATGTTAAGCTGTTTTGGACTTAACGTTAAAAGGACTCTGACTACTTAGCATAAGGAAGGAAAAAAAATCACAAGCTGTTGTAGAAAAACAGCATAAGCACAGCTATTTAGTGTGTTTGTTTATATAACTTCTTCCTGAAGTAAGTGTTTTATTCAGATAAAGAACAAATGATGAAAGAACATAAGGTGTAATTATTTGTATTAATTATTTTTACTGATGAAATCGGCAATAAAACATTTTTTTATCTGTTTTTTTTTTTTTTACAACCCCAGTATGTTACTTTATGCAACTTTTAAAAATTTCTTCCATTGTTTTATCAGAGTCACAGCCCCATATAGGTAAGGAAGTGTTCTAATTTTATCAGTAAATTTTCTTCACTAAACCAATGCTACCTCAGGAACAAAACTTCCTTTTTCGCTTTGTGTATTTAGTGCTCTCTCAACTCGATGCTTTCTCGATTCTGTATTTATACACTGAATATATCCTGCCTCTGCATAACCTGGCTGAGTGGCTTGGTGCTTTTACGGAAGATTATTATTTTCAGCGACATTTGAAAAAAAAATCTCTCATGAGCTTTGGCCACAGGACTTGCTTTAACATTTATCGAGCACCCTTATATTATGAGAAACTTGTTGAATTAAAAATGCAGAGTTACTTGCAGAAAACACAAGAAAGCCGACAATTCAGGCTTGCTTGCTGTAGAGGAAGAGAAGGTTCATGTACATAGACGAAGCTTCAATACCATTGTAGAAGTGAAAGAAGAATTGGGGGTTCATGATGTCCAATATTGAGAAAAGTCCCCCTACCCCTCGTATGTATGGAATGGTGTGTTTGAATGAACTCATTTAAACATGCTGCAATTTCCTGCATATTACATTTACATCTATCTCTGTATTTGTAAATCATCATTATATTTGTTCCATTGAAATCATTATTGTGGCAAAGAAAATAATTTGCAAATGGTCTGATATCCTCTTTAGGTATGAAGAATTTCAGAACCTCTTCCTCTTTTGATGAATCAGCAATAATTTCGGAAAATTACCTGATGGGCATTTGATTGAACATAACAGTTTAGGCCTGTAATATTCTCTGATAATTTGCATCTTCTCTCTATTGAAACCCATCATTCAAAGAATTGGATTTTCAAGGATGCTTACACTGTGTAAAATGAAACGGCACAAAAATGTCTTGCAGACAAAATGAGCATTCAATCTGGGATTTGTCTCTTTTAGTGGTATTAAGTTCAGCAGACTAGCTTAGGCATTGGTAGATTTGTATTTACTTGGGATATAGTCCTAAAGCTAGGTAATTGCCTGGCCTTATTTAAAGGTATTGATTTGAGTATGTCTTTGCCAGTGAAAATGTTCGTTAAATCCCAGTCAACTTCTTTTGGGCACATCGATTAGGTCTCTAGTCTGCTTTCCCAAAGATAAGATAACAAATTGGATAAAAGATACAATAGGTGGTTCCATTTGTGTATTTCAAAGTTTGCTTTTACTTTTTTTATTTTTCAGAAAATAATTTCTGAACTTTTTAATGAAACTTGTTGAAGCATTCTTAATTGAAGTAAACCCCTTTAATGATTTAGTAGATTAGTTATATTTTCTGAAATGGTGTTGGAAAAGATCAAAGTTCTTTTATATCTATTTTCGGGATTCAGTGCAGGATAATGAAAAAGAAGGAAACAAAAACAGACTTGATAGCAATTATATTATAGGAAGTTAACAAAATTTTGAAAATATCTCAGTGTCAGGCCTCAGTCATTCATGGAAAAGCTTTTAATAACTTCAAAATATATTTTTATCAGTATTTAAAAGGGAATAGTTTTACATGAATTAATGATATTAATGGTAACATAAAAATGTGCAAAACTGGTTCTCAATATATGATTGACACAAAAACTGGTTCTCTTCATTTTATATCCATAATTAAGCATATCTTGTTCCATTTAAACAGTTTTTCTTAATTTCATTTGTGCATTGTCTGGAACATCTTTTGAATGCATAATATGTATCTCTTTTTAAAATCTGTACTAGAGCATGAAAAATTTAACTGAAAAAAAATGGTCTTGTTCTTGACTCTGGAATAATGTAGTATGCAGATTTTAAGTGTTCTGCAAGTAATAAAGAAAGAAAACAAAACAGTCAGTATTGAATAATTAACACACCAAACAAGGTTATGTTAAAGTTTGGAAGCAACATGGATAGACAATTCATTTTGGTTTTGAAAATGCCATTATTAAAATGAATGAACAAATTTTTAGGAAGCAGATGCATGTTAATCACAAAAATTACAATTTAGAGAAAGGCTGGTGTAAAAGTTGGTTTGAGATACAGTCAAACCTCATTATCTCAGGTTGGGACTGGCAACTCCCAACATACCCTTGGTATTCGAGATATTGGTGTTCAAGATAATGAAGTTCAACTGTATATTTTCCCCTTTTTGGACGATTTCTTTACAATCATGATTTAAAAGAATTAAAAAGCCTGTACAGCATCTCTTTTCTTTTCAGTGCATCATTCAGTAACTTACCATCATCAGTTTGTCTTGGCAAAGAGCATGGACCACTCTAAAATAGTGGTAACAATGTTGCTTTACACTTCTCGCTCTCTCACACAAAAGAAATTAAAAGACTTTCTTACTAAAAGGGTTGCACATTGATCGTTAGCAGAATTATAAATCACAAGATAAACATCGTTGTCTGCCTTTGCAGATGGATTTTCTACTCATCTAAACTGGTTGTATGTCTTATGTTCTATAATTGGGTTCTTCAACTACCAAAAAAAAAATGGTTCAGGTGATTATTTTTTCTCCTTATAATCACGCAAGCAAGGCTTCAGAGCATAGATTGCTTAGACCATCACTTCATCAATTTCTATTGATATTTCAATCACAACTTTTGTGGCTTTTGGCTTCGTTGACTCTGAAAACTGAATTTTGTACTGTACATAAAAGAGCTTCCTTGCAGTCCTATGTTGATAATCAATTCCACTGAGGTTTCATGCTTTGATAATATCCATATTTAACCTATTGATTTTTTTTTTTCATTTTTTGTGTTAAGTACTTGTTGTTTTATGACTTTTGCAGCACTGATTTGAATTTATTTAATAAGTATTATAGTACATGTTTAATGTATTATTTGGAGTTCAGTTGTAGAATACTATTTTTTAAAGTAAACAGTTTTTCATGGGTTTAGACTTTATATTTGTGTTTGTTTTGAATTTTAAGTTTGTTTTTTTTCTTCAAGCAATACCGAAGCAAAGAAGACCAGAACTGCTCCCTTGTTTAATCAAACTGCACTTGATATTCCCGTTAGTCCTCCTCCAGGGGAATCCAGAAATGACTTTATGAAAAGTCTGACCACCAGTATGACTCTAGATCGTAAAGCTGTTAACAAATCCAATCTTAAAACAGACAGATCTGGAAGTCTGACTGGAGCTGAACCCAATCCAGTTCTCCAGCTCAGTGCCCAGAGATCTGGTAGTGTTAGTCCACAGACTGGAATTCGGCGGTTCTTACCATCCTTGGGAACTATTCCAGATACAGTACTCACTGGTTCCAGGAGCTCAACTGACTTAGATAAGATTAGCCAGAGTAATGGCAAGAAAAAGGGATTTGCCCCCATTTCCAAAATTCAGATTCTCAAGTCTTTCTTTGAGAGAAAAGTTGCTCAACTGTCTGGTAAACCAACCACTCCAGATAGGTTAACTGGATTATTCAAACCCCCCAAATCTTCCAAGGAGAAACTGTAATTATCTTTTTATTATCTTTCTTTGCCTGCTGTTTGCTTAGATTTGTTATTTGGAATGCCCCCTAATTCTCCTAGCTTGTTTTAGTTCTCATAATTTCTTCAACAGATTTTTACAGGTGGCATGTGCTAATCAGCTAAACTAATATATTTCTATGGGGACTGAGATGGGTGACAAAGTTTGATAACTGCATGCTTTAGCATGTTTCACAAATTTATCAATTAAATACTTTTTATCTAAATTTCAAGTATTGTACCTGATTAGGTAAAGAGATGAAATCGGATTCATCTCAAGTTTATGCAATGATAATCATGTACAGTAACCAAGTATTTGTTCATTCAACTCCCATTAAACTCAAAGATGAAGTGATAAAAATAGCATTCGGTGATGAATTAAATTGTGCATGCAGATGTATAGTTTGCTGAGTCATATTACATGATATGTCTTTAATCTTTGATGATATTCAAAGTTGGATGGAAAAAAATTGAATAAACACATTGTCTTCAAGGAGGAAGGCAGGTATATATTGCATGTAAAATTCTATCAATTGAGATTTATTAATGAGAAATGCTTGCTGTAGAGCTCTTAATGCATGATATATGAGGTTAATTTGCAATAGCAGAAAAATGCCTGTTTACCATGGAATGTGAATTAAGAAAAGCATACTGTTATGGCATGTAGAGATGCTAATATGCTGGAACTGAACAATTGTTTGAAGGGTTTGCTTGGCACTATTGAATTTATTTTGTGGAAACTTCTCCAAAATATATATTTTGAAATCAGTAGACTTCAGACTCGTCTAATTTTAGGAAAAGTCAAATAGAGAAGAGGCAAGTCTAGTAGGTCAATGAGAAAGGATGTAATTTGTGAATAGACAATCTTTATCTGGTGTCAAGCATGCTGAGTTTGAATGTTTTGGAGTGATACGAGTTTCATAAATCTCTGCATTGATTTCTTCCTCAAGTGCCAGACCAAGAGTTGTCCCAACCATAAATATCCTCGATACCGATGCACCTGACTCAAATGTAAGACCGGGGAAAAGCAAGCTCGGAAAGTCAAAAAAATCTAAGACAAAGACTGATGGGTAAAAACACAATATTCCTGTCGCATGTTGATGATTCATTTTCCCGTATATTGTGGGTGATGTTTGTCAGTTAGATTTGAAGGAACTATGTAGTATATCTTGTCCTGTTCTTGAGTAATCCTCAGCATCATTTGAATAAACTATGTCTTATTTAATCCCTTGTTTTATTTTTAAACTCTATGTGAAACATAATTTGCTGTTCTTGTATAACTGTAACATGGGTAGTATTGTGATGTAATGTTCTAATATTAATACCAAATAATGGAGATGTACTACAAAGTATTATATCATTTGTATCAGATGTTTTAATAAGAGTTGTTTTATTATCTATATATATTTTATACCAAATGAGTACTACTTTGTTCATGTTGGTGGACAAAGTACATCCAGTAACTGTCTTTCTTCTTTCTCTTGCAAATGACATTTTATTTTATACATCAAGGTCATTTTTGCTGATTTAGATGTACATTGTAAAAAAAGTTTTTCCAATTGAATCCAGTGTTCTTGGCTGTCCATTGAGTCAGCCACATTGGTGCTTGCCTTTTGGAAGCTATAAGTGAACGTTTATCAGATCCTTTCAATACATGTAATATTTTGCTATTCAGTTGCATTAGACCTGGGCTGTGGCTAGATCATAATGGATACATAGCTGTACATAGCTGCTACGATCTTGAATGATAAGCTAGCCTAGCCATAACAAGCATTAATTCATATAGCACGTTCAATATGACATAGATATCTTAACTTAGCAGCTAGCCTAGCTGCTATGATCTGGAAGGCAGCCCTGAGGTTCAACTGAACAGCAATCCATATTGTCTATTACATAAAGTTGATACTAGACCTAAAATTTTAACGGCTAACAAATGCTTGCTATAATAACATTTAATACATTTAAATTAACCATATTCTTTAATTTCAGTATGGGAAATGCATGTTTCACTTATGGGCATCTTAACTAAGTTGAAAAAAATTCTGGTTTATTTGAATACAAACATAAAAATTGATAACTTGATTAATGTAATTAATAATAGTTAACAAAGATTTAAAGTTTAGAAGCCATTGTGCTTTAAGACTGTACCCACAAGAAAGATTTATGGACATGTAATTAACAAGTTGTGTGTTTTTTTATTCTTAAAAGGATAATTTAGTTATGTAAGCTCCACTGGTCATTGATTTTTGCATTTCAATGTATTTTCAGTGTCCAGTCTAAAGAAACAAAAGAGGAACAACTTCGTCGTCCAAAGACCAGCATTGTCCAGTCTCTTGTCTCTCCTCCCGGAACACACCCCACATCCTCAGCCACCCCTGACTCCAGAGGAATGAGGAAGTACAGTCTCATCCAGGAGGAGTCGTTGGATGATGAAGATGACGAGGAACTCATGGAAGTGGATCCTGCTGATATCCGTCCAGCAAAATCAGTGGAAAGTTTGGATGATGGAATCACTTGGAAAGGTCCAGGGCAGAGCCTGCCATCGTTCGAGCCACTGCAGATGAAAAGACCTCTGGTGTCTGTGGCAAGTTCTCCTCAACTGTTGAATCAGATTTGTGAGGAGAATGAGACAGATGTAGAAGAGGAGGATGATTTTGTGCCAAATAAACTGCACTCGCCACGAATGAGGATCAGTCGAGGGAGTTGTGCTTCTCCAGAGGTGTTGAGAAAGTATGAACAAAGAAAGAAACGCTCGGGTTCAAAGGTCACAAGCTGTAGTAGTTCTGATGCTAGTGATACCGATGATACAGAGAAACGCTCACGGAAGGACAAATTAAAGCCAAAATTTATGCACAGAAGGGACAGTAGTGATCATTCAAGTGATACAGACGGGGGTCCATCAGGGCCTTCAACTGGGGGTTTAGGTGGGGGAAGAGCAAGTGCAGGAGGAGGGGGAAAAGAAAGGGGAAATAAGGATAGAAAGGGGGGTGGGGGCAGTAAAGGTCACAAGGAAGGCAAGTCAGGGGGAGGGGGAGGAAAACAGCATACTCATTCATGTAGGTCAAGAAGTGGAGAAAGTAGCATATCTTCTGCCATATCTAACTTAAGCATGTCAAGCATCAATAGCAAAAACAGTCTCAAGTACATAGTGGAAGGTGATGAGAGCAATGACAGTGATGTAGAGGACAATGACATGAAGACTGATGATAAGGAAGAAGTGAGAGAAAGAAATTACATTGACAAAGTGTGTGACAAAGAGAATAAAATTTGTGAGGAGGTGATCTCGCTGTGCTCTTCAGACTGCAGTGGTCATCATCATGATAAGAAGGTATATGGAAACAGACTGAAAATCAAAGTGGACATCAACAGAAATAGCTTCTGCAAAGTTCAGGAGTCAAGTCTTCATCCAATCAAAATTCAGACAAAGTGTTGCTCTCTTGTATAATTAGAGAAGGGGGTTTAATTTTGATTTAATTAAGTTTTCTTTTACCTGTGTCTTTTTTTTTTGGTTCAAACTGTCAATGTTAGTTTTCAAATACATGTATAATATATTTTTAACTGAGTTGCTTGTGACTAATTCAAAAAAATCTTAATCTTTGTTCAGAATGGTATTTTTTTTTAAATATGCTTGTTAAAATTTTTAAATCTCTGATGTAGGAAAGATGCGGGTAATTTTTTAAAAACATAACTTTGATCATCAGTACATGATTATTTTTTTTTTTTCAAAAAGTGTTTCAGTTTAATGGCTTGATGTGAAAATGTTTATTTCACTTGTACAAGAATATTGCAACATTGTATCACTGATAATTATAATGTAGTTTTGTGCAAAGCCATATCTTAACCAACATTTGAAAATACATAACTTTTTTTGAATTTGATTTCAAAATTTCATATAACAAAGGACAGAACAAGTTAATGAATGGTTGTATTGGGTATTTCAATATCTGCATGCTTGTTTTAGCTGTTTGTATAAAATATCTTGTTACTCCTTTGTAAAATCTCTCTTTAAAATATCTAAATTAACATGAAATGTAAAAGGTTTGAATGTCATCAAAGTCTTGTTTTGTAACAAGAATAATTCATCATCAATTATTAAATTAAAAAAAAAAAAAGAAAAAATTGTGAGGTATTGTAGAAATGTTTTATTTGTCAGAGAGATAAATATATCACTTTAGAGAAAAGTAATGGTTATAATTAATTGTACATACTGTATAAACACATAGATACTTGAGAGTTGTAGAAGTGTTGTCTGGGAGCTGGCCTCCTTGATATATACTAGGAGAAGTTTTCTTGTGCCTGAGGACTTGTAGAAAAGTAGATATATATATATAAATGTTTAATTAGTGTGAAAGATGATTTCACTAGTTTTATTGCATGTTTATCTGCCATATATTTATATCCAAGTGTGCAATTCTGATAAAAAGATGCACACAAGAAAATTTCAATTTCTATTATGTTATAGAATGTTGTCATAAAACTCTGTCAAAATGCATATTTTTGATTATAATAGAGTCAATTGCCAGTGAATTTTTAAATGTGTATAAGATATTTTTAGCTACCATGACTATTTATTACTCTTTATGACTACTTGCTATTTCCTGGTAACTTATTAGATGAGATTAGAGTTATCTCTCTTTTTTAAAGATTGACAAGCTGTATTTGTGCTGTAAAATGCATGAATAAGACAATCAATTTAAATATAACACTAACTCAATTGTGATACATGTTCTGATGTTCATATCCTTTTCAGAAATCATCAGGACAAATTATCACATGATGTTAATGTTTTTTGGCGTTTTGTGCAGCATGAAAGCCATATTTGAATACATTTTTAAAAAAGAAAAGGTTGTATTGTGAAGTTTGATTTTTCATGCATAAGCAGAATTAAATCCTAGAGAACAATCATATACTTTTGACTTTTATAATATTTGGCTTTGTAAAATGTTTTAAACTATTCATCTTCAATAATTAAATTTATCGTGTGATTAGTTTAATTGTTAAAAAGGTCAAACTTAACTCTGATGAGATCAGATTATTTAAATTGTTTGTTACGAATTCTTTTTTAGTCTTTAACTGAATTTGAAAAAAAAGTTTGTTTTCATTATATTTGATATTCATTTCCACTATCAACATGTTCACACTGTATCAGCCTTGTTGTGATTATAGGTAGTTTGATGTTCGTCCACGTCAACAAAGTTGTTCTGTTTGTTATTTATAGCAGCTGTTAAATGTGTGAGAGCGCCTTGTGTGTTGAAAAAGAAGTGCTTTGTTGAATTTGTGAGATATGTGGAAAATAGAAACATAAAACTTACTACAAAGTTCTTGTCTTTTATTGAGAGTTGAGGACATCCCTCATTAAGGGACATATCTTTTCCCTCCTACCTTTTCAATATACCGGTGTATGGTTAAATAATATTTTTAAGGAAAAGGGTCGGAAATGGAGAGTTAGACCCTCGTTTCACTTGGCCCAACGGTCATCCTCGGGTATATGCCTGTGTAGAGTGTAAAACGTAAAGTAATTCAGATGAACATCTGCTTAGCAGAAGACTTAGGGTCGATAATAGTTTTCGTATTCTGAAATAAGTAGCCTTAGAATGTCAGAGGAACATTTTTTGAGACGCTTAGGCCATTCCAAGTTTTTTCTCTGTTTAGCGTCCATCCATCTTTCAAAAACCTACCTACCTATTCGCAAAAAATAAACAAGCCAAAAAATAAAACACAGACTTTATAGTCTTTAAAATGAGATCATACAAAGCATTTCATTTCATTAATCTATTTTTCTCGTACAAAAATCTATTCTTAGCAAAATCCAGGTATTAAATGCTTAAAATATACATAATATGGCATATTGTAAACAAATACTTAGAGATATTGACAGAATTGAAAGATTTTGACCAGAATAATCAATTTTAGGACTCCTGATTTTGTTTGTTTTTTCTCATATGGGGTGCCAAAAACCAAGGCGCACGTGGACGCTAAACATAGAAAAAACTTGGAATGGCCTTATTATAAGATACAGTACTTCGCATAGAAAAAATCCCATGGGCCACAAAAATCAACCCAGTCATTTTGTTTTAACTTGTAGTCCCTTATTGTAACTTTTTTCCTCCAAAACAAGGCCATATAAGTCGTACTGATATTGAAGCACTGTTGATTCAAGTTTGGTTATGTCATAGCCCTTTTCTGCTAGGGCGAGGCCACAATGTTAGGTCAAAACTTTCATGTGAATAAGGGGGGGGGGTGAAAAATAGGACCGATAACTTAGGTGAGCGTTGTGGCCCATGTTTACCAATACCAAATTAACGTGACAAGCACTACTGAAATTAAGGTACAATATATTAAAGCAAATATATACAGATATCAGTATTGCAACATTAGTCATGCTATTATTTTAATATACTAGTATTTGTGTAATAGTATTTCTCTGGTCCTCTTAAAAGCTCTATCCTTGAAGGCATGGGAAAACAAGATGTGTTGGTAAAACACTGATGTCACCGTATGGCAGCCTATGGCAAAGGTTAGAGTTTCTCAGATGCAACTCTAACTCCAAAGTCAAGAGATGAGAAAGGTCGTTACCAAAGAAAGCACTTGTTTCATGGAATATAACTCTGAAACATGAAAGCCCTAGCACCAACCGTTGAAAAGTTATATGGCGAAGGATAAAGTTTTTTGAGAAGTATGTTAAACGTCAAGATCAAGTTTAAAACTGTTGGTACTCAACGGAAAGTCTTGTCACAAGAAATACACTGTGAAATATGAAAGCCCTAGCACCAACTATTCAGAAGTTATGAACAAGGTTAAAGTTTTTCAGAAGGAGGTCAAACTCCAAGGTCAAAGGGTCAAAATTGTTGGTATCCAATGGAAGGTCTTGTCACAAGGAAAACACCTGACCGTGAAATATGAAAGCGCTAATACTAACTGTTCAAGAGTTTTTGTCAAGGTTAAAGTTTTTTTTAAAAGTGGATCGATTTCCAAGGTCAAAATGTCAAAATAAAAAATATACCCATAGAAAAGGTCTTGCCACACGGAATACAGATGTGAAGTATGAAAGCTCTAGCACGGACTTTTCATGGCTGAGGTTAAAGTTTGGTAAAATGTTGCAATGGGTCAAACGTCAAGTTGAATGTCAGATATGTTAATACCCAAAGTAAGGTCTTGTCACAAGAAATACACATGTCATGTGAAATATGAAAGCCGTATAGCTGCAACCAATCAGAAGTTATTGACATAGTTAAAGTTTTTTGTGGACAAACAGCTAGAAAGACAGACAGACGGACAGGGCAAAAACTGTATGCCCCTGAATCTCCGATTACGGGGGCCATAAAAAAATAAACTGACTCAGCAGAATTTGCCACTCCTCCCCTCTTCAGAATCAAATGGCCGTCCCTTTTGTATTCACAAAAAAACTTTATGAAGTTAGAGTCAGATTTATTCCCTCAGACTGTCGGGCAGTATTTGGAAAATCTTACAAAGTGACATCCAGGTGCCTCTTGGCCTCTTTAAGATTTTCCCCCTACAAATTTCCATGGAAATTTCGATCTCCTGTGATTCCTTTCTAGCTAGGCCCTTGGACATGCCTCAAATATGATTTGAGGAAGCTTACTGGTCAAAAATGGTAAAAAATATCATGTACATGATTCCAAACCCTAGGGTCACGATTAACAAACTTGAATCTATATGGAGATTCTTGCGTCAGATTCTGACTCGCTGTAGGCCTTTTACTTTTTAAGAATTTTTGCATTTGCATTTATTTTTAAGATATAAATTGCCATCCAATGCAAACCACGGGTGCACATTATTTGAAGAAAACTGAAACTACACAGGTCCAAACACGTACAAAAGGAAGCTTTTAAACTGGGTGCAGACTTTTCTGGATCAGTGGTACTATTTTTAGCTAACCTCAACGAAGCTGGGGGAAGCTTGTATGATACCCTCGGCGTCATGCAGTGTCGGCGTCCCAGTTTTTAAGTTTTTGAATCAGATTTGTTTCAAGTACTTCTATGGCCTACATTAATCAGAGATGGATGGAATATACTTCTTGTATGTTTCATTGTACCAGTCAAGGTTTCAGATGCTGCAATTTCAGCTAAAGAATGACCAGGTTAACGATTTTGGAGTAGGTTAAAGTTTTTGGAGCAGATCTCATTTCCAAGTAACTATAAACCCTGTATTGACCAAATCTGCATGGATGATACTACTAGGCTTGCCTCGGATGCTTGATCTGACACACATTTTCTGGATGAGTGACCAGTTTAAGTTTTTGGAGCAGGTCTCATTTCCAAGTAACTATAAGCCCTATATCGACAAAATTTGCATGGATGGATGATGCATCTAAGGATGCACACTACCAGGCTTGCTTCGGATGCTGAATTTGATCTACATTTTCCGTACGAGTGACCAGGTTAAAGTTTTTGGAGAAGATTTTTCTAAAGTAACTATTTGCCCTACCTGGACCAAACTTGCATGGCTGAATTTGACCCATATTTTTCAGATGAGTGACCAAGTTAAAGTTTTTGGAGCAGTTTCTCTTTCAAGTGAATATAAACCCTATGCCTACCAACTTTTCACTGGTGATATATATTTATTGATGTACACTAGCTACAAGAGGTGCTTCACATGCTGGATTTGACCTACATTTTTTCTAGAAAAGTGACCATGCAGGTTAAAGTTTTGGAGCAGGTCCATTCCCAAGCAACTATAAGATCTACCTGAATGAATCTTGCATTGATGATGCGTCTAGGGATCAACACTACCAGACTTGCTTTAGATGCTGGATCTAACCTACATTTTCCTTATGAATGACCAGAATTATTTTTTTTAGAGCAGGTCCTATCCAAGTAACTGTAAGACCTACCTGAACAAAACTTGCATGGATTATGCATCTAGAAATGCACACAACTAGATTATTAGTTTAGTGTGGGACTTTGCCTTAAAGACAACATTCGTTAAGGTGAGCTCTATAAACTCTGATTACCTATGTTTACTATATCGTATTTCATATTTTTCTTGGAAAAAAAAGGGATTGCTTATCAAACTATGAAAAATGAATTTATTTTAGCCAAGAATGCTCTTTGGTGAGTTTGGTAGAAATTGACCCATCGGTTCTGAAGAGGACGAATTAGAAAAGCTCCATTGATATGATTTCAGCCTTTGGTTCAGATGAGCTATTTAAAATGTCATGGTATTAACGAATTTCATAATGAAAAATTTTGTTATAACTTAAAAAAATTGGTTCCTATATAAATCTTTCCTTAAAAAGTCTAACATTTCCAATATTATACGGAGCGATCATAAAAAAAAATTCGATGTTTGACGCAGGGTGAAATATTGGACATGTCGATAAGATATTGGACCGCTTAAGTCACAAGTGTGGGCGGGATCAGCTAAATCTTATTTGCATTCGACAGTAACATATTTACCGAGATTAACCGCAGTGCTGGTAAAGCAAATTGACATCATGGAAGCCAGCACAAGATACATTTATACCAAAAAAGTATAACAAAACATTTATTGACGGCGTTCTCTGGCGACATGCGTTTTGTCAACCCCTCGAACTAAACTCAGGCCTCAGGCAAACAGTTTGGTTCTTGGGTCTGACAAAACGCATGTTGCCATCGAACCCAGTCATTAAATGTTGATTTAACAAAGCAATGTTCTTAAGAGCACGAGAAAAAAATATTATTTGATAGGATTATTTATAGGAGACCCATTTCCTGCCCAGGAGCTACGATTTGAACAAACTCGAATCTCCAGTAATTGTTGCTAGCACATATTAATGTGAAAAAAAATTGTAATTTTGTTCTTGAGAAAATTCCCTTCCCACCCCATCCTTCACTTTTGTAAAATTTTGAGTCAACGCGAGACGAGAATACTTATATATTGATTAAGATCACAGCCAGGAAGACCTGAGATATTCGAGGTAACCCTCGATCCCCAACCCAGGGAATTCTATTTATTGATTTTAAAAAGTTTAAACTTCCTAGTTTGGTTTCATCTTGATTTGGGGGGATAAAGTTTGGACATTCTTGAATCTTCACAGCAATAGTTGTTCTCAAGCTCTTAATATTATACATTTTTTGGACTAGGTTCGAGGGCAACATGCGTTTTGTTGAACTTAAGAACCAAACTGTTTGTTTGCCTGAGGCCGTTAGTTTGGTTCGAGGGGTTGCCCGAGAACACAGTCAATACGTGTTTTGTTATGCCTTTTATTTTTTGACACTAGATGAAATCCCGCGCAAGCGCAGGGAATTGAATCTATACCACTACCGACAGAAAAAAATCCAGTAATATATATATTGTAGTTTCTACTGACAGCCTACAGGCTTGTAGCAGAAAGAAATATACTTTGTTAAAAATCCCGCGTGAAGTAGAAGTACGTCTCCAAACCCCACCCCACCCCCTTTGTAAAACTTAAATAACAATTTCATTAATTGACGTTTATTGTGAAACCTGTTATATACTATGTTATGGATATTGTATATACTGTGTTTTGGATATTGTACTTCAATTACTCTTATTTCATTTCCGTCAAGAAATGCACATTTTACTGAGAAATTGATTTTTTTTCGTAAAAATTCACAGGTACTTGGGTCCTGGTTTATAGATATGTATGTACCTTATTGATATGTAAAAAGTGTACCTCACCTCTTTTTTTTAACATATCAATAAGGTACATAGTTACATATCTATAATCCAAGACCCAAGTACCTGTGTAAAATAACGCCCTATGAATACACTGGCGGATTTAGAGGGGGCAGCCCCCTACCGTTTTGTTTCCAATATATACATAAAGTTTAATAAATCAATTTTTTTGTGTGTCCGTGGGCCCTTACCCCGACCCCAAACTGGTCCCCCCCCCCTTCAAAATTCCTGGGTCCGCCACTGGAATAGGCCGACTATTTGATACAAAAGACTGTATTCAGAAAAAAAAACTGAAATGTATTGATTAAAGCACAAAATTGTACAGCATAATTGTATTTGAACAATGCCTTATTCATTAATTTTCTCTTCATGTAAGCAGGTTTATTACAAAGTCCAAATTGAACTTCGAGTTCGTTGTCACGATGCTCTCAGTGAGGAATATAAATTTTACCGATAAATTTATTATAGGAAAACCTACTAAATATATGTAATTATTGTCTTTCGATATATAAATATATTCACAATTTACAGTGTTATCAATGATTTACCATTATTTCAATGACCATTCACACAATTTAAGCTTTTTTATGTTAAAGCAGGGACCTATATACTAACAGGTCCCTGGTTAAAGCAGCTATTTTCTTTTTAACATGATGTTCTAGAAGCTTCCGTCAATGTTACGATCGGTGAATGACGAAAATAATTTGCACATTTTCCTTTTTAATCGATTATCACAACTTATTTCTTTTATATCATTGAAATCAAGTTTTGATTGAATAATTCAGTAATGACGTTTAATGAAATAAATAAACGATTGCTTGTTGCCAGTTTCATTAAAAATTGTCAGTAACTTAGATCCGCCAACCGGAAACGCCACCGTACTCACGTTTTTGTTATTTCATGGCTGTTTATAGAAAATAAAAGTAGACTTTTAATTTAATGTACGATACTTGCAATGCAAGTGAAGTCTAAATATAGTTTACGGACATCATCTTGTATCGTGTGTATTCTTAGAGGAGTAAGTAAAAACTCTGATACACCCGAATCGGAGTTTATTTGCAAAATTTATTAATTTATAAGTATAGATGTACATGACCATGTTTCTTGTGCTGGCTTCCATGATGTAAATTTCCTTTATCTGCACTAAAACTCGTCCAATTCTGTCACTGTCGAACACCAACGAATGCAAATAAGATTTAACTGATCCCGCCCACAGCGTGACGTAAGCGGTCCAGTATCTCATCGACAGGTCCAATATCTCACTTTGCGGTCTAACATTGATTTTTTTTATGACTGCTTAGTAAAACATTGAAAATCTTAAACTTTTTTTAGTATAGATTTACATAGGAACCAATTTCTAAAAATATAACAAAATATTTTGATTTTGGCCGCCTGTTGTTGCCCCATCCAAACCTTTAGGAGCTATGATTTAAATAAAACGTAAAACTACATAATTACTTGTGTTATCCTTGTCTGTACCCTGTTGATCATAAAAATTCAGCTTAAAGTAGTCAGTTGTTATTTTTCTAAAAATAGTAGTAGGACAGACTTCTGTGAATTGTGCAACCTGGTGTTTTTTGTTGATAAGATCTATGCTGTTCCCAGTTCATCATGGATTGCATTTCATATGTCGTTTCGATTATGTGCCTGTTTTATATGGAAAAATCTTTAGGAATGTCAACAGAAGAGAATCTGGGCAATGTGTTAAAAGAAGTGGACATGTTACGATCTTCGGTGATGGACTTAAAGGACACAGTCATTCGACATCAAAGACTTAATGAAGTCAAGAAATGAAGACCGCGTCAAATTAAGAAAACTTGAAATTGATTACAGGGATTTAAAAACGAACATATCTGTGTTCCATGATAACCAGGGAGAAGAAATTCAGAGCAATATAGTGACGGAGAGTTCGCACTCCAACGCCTCTACCGTATCTAGTGTCAGAGAGACATCCAAAGAAAGGAAGAACAGGAAATTGTCGACAAGTAATCATCTCTCTCTCTCTCTCTCTCTCTCTCTCTCTCTCTCTCAAACAAACAGTTCTGCAGTGTAATATAATACAAAATAAAAATTTTATCACCCCCTCCCCCCCCCCCCCCCAAAAAAAAAGAAATCCAAACAGAGAAATATATATATATATATATATATATATATATATATATATATATATATATATATATATATATATATATATATATATGACGAACTGTTACCATTTAAGCGAAATACTGTAGTTAAATGCATTTGATAAACTTTGTTCACCAACTGTAACCGGTAGAAAACAATTTGTTTACATTATATTATTCAATGACAGCAAATACAGCTTTTTGATTGTTTGTTTTTTATTGTTTAACGTCCCTCTCGAGAATGTTTCACTCATATGGAGACGTCACCACTTGCCGGTGGAGAGCTGCAAATTTTGACCTATACTCGGCACTCAAGGCCATTGAGCTGTGAGGGATCTTTTTCGTGCCAGCACCTACTGCGACACGGGACCTCGGTTTATACGGTCTCATCCGAATATCCGGTCTCTACGTCCAACAGTGGGATTCGAACCCGCGACGTAAGGATTAACTCCTTACTCCCCGACTCTAGAGCGAACGCTCTAACCACTGCGCCACGCGGGCGACACAGCTTTTTTGTAAATACAATTAAGCATAGATTTTTAAATTTATTTTAAAAAAAATATCGCGTTTGCCAACTACAAACATGTCTCTCGTAAATATTTTGAATTCAGCTTACCACATAAGCTGTAGTTTGCACGAAGAGGGCAGTGAACTAGATGTGCATGTAACTCTGTAAACTATTTTCAGAATAAAATGAGGTATGTTTGCTGGATTTAAAGCTACATTTATAAAAATTATTTTCAGTTCATACGAGGAGGCAAATTGAGGAAATCGTTGCATTTTATGCTTACTTGTCATCTGATCTTCAACCCGGAATACACCATACCATTCCATTTGATGTGGCGATAACTAATGCTGGAAACGGTTACCACCACAGTACCGGTGTGTTCGTTGCCCCCGAAAGTGGACTTTATGTATTTACGTGGACCATTCGAATGACTCACGAGTCAGCGCACTCAATGGAACTTGTAGTTAATAATATGGTATATGGTGCTACATTTATGCGCACCCACACCCCGGAAGACCAAAATGTTAGCGGAACGGTCGTCGTGCATGTCAACCGAAATGATGACGTATACGTTCGAACTCACCAAACGTATGCTTATAATGCAGGAAATATCCGCAGTGATGAATTTAGCAGATCCACATTTGCAGGCTGGAAGCTGAACTAAATTTTTATTAAGAATGTCATGTAAATTAAATCTAATGAATAATAAATACATATAGTAATTGTTTTGGTTACGATCCATAGGCGTCGGAACCGGGGGGGGGGGGGGCTACGGGGGCTTAGCCCCCCCCACTTTTTTTGCAAAGATGTACATAATATAGACATTGAAAATTGGGGGCTTACCTTTTTTCGTTGGTTTAGCCCCCTCCCCCCCTTTCAATTAGCCACCCCACTTGTAATTTGCTTCCGACGCCTATGCGATCCATGTCAGTTTTGTTTAGACTTGATGCCATTGTATAGGTGTCTTTTTAATGCCACATAGAAGAAATTCTGAAAAAAAAGAAAAGGTTTCTTTCGATACAACCGGAAAAATAATATCGTATATTTGTATATTTAGAGTTGATCGATAAAACATTCAGATATGCATAGAAGTCCTTTTGCATTCATGCGTGCGTGAAGCATTTACTTTAATTTTGATCCAAACTGGTCACATTTAATCCTGACTTGCATGCGCTATGTCGTTCCAATTTTGTGCACTCTTTACATGGAAATCTTCGGCCATCAACGAATGGAACAATTGGCATAGTATCAAAGAAATCGATAATGAAAGCCTCCTTGCAAAATCTTTTTTTTTATTGTAAAACAAATCAATCCTATTCGATAAAATGTGATTCCCATTCTATAAGTTGTTACTCTTATGCGAAAAAAAGAGATTTCTATTCGATAATTTATCATTCCGATGTTATTCCTACTCCAAAACTTGTGATTCCTATCGATAATTTGTTATTCCTCTTCGAAAACATTTAATTTCAATTCGATAGTATTATCATTCCTATTCGATAATTTTGTCATTCTTATTCGATAATTAAATTTATATTCGATAAACATGTTATTCCTATTTAAAAACATAATTACCCAGAATGCAATTATTGAATAAGAATAATTTAGAAATCATTGCATAGGAACGATAAAATTATCGAAAAAGAATAACAAGATTATCGAATAGGAATCTGTTTTTGAATAGGAATGATATGTTTTCGAATAGAAATAACAAGTTCATTGCATATAAATCACATAATTATCGAATAAGAATGACAAAATTATCGAATAGGAATCACATGTTTTCGAATATGAATGACATATCTATGGAAGGGAATTACCGCCAAAAGTCTATCTTGCTTTTATTCAGACATGTACCCGGTGTCGTTCCTCCTAAAGGCTCTGAATCTGTAACATACATATTTGAAAATTTGGGTTCGATCGATAAAGTATTAAGGCAGAAAATTGAAAAAATCTCGAATAACCTCGGCCCGGGTTTGCGTGCCTAATTTTACCAACACTCGCAGCGAACACCCTGCCACCTAACGTTATATAATGCCGCATTAAATTCACACTACTTGTATTCGTCTTCGTTGAATGCGCTTCATGGTTTGACTGAATTTACATTTGTAATAGAGATGATCATGATTATTATTTATTAAAGAAACTGTATCAATTTAAAAGAAAGAAGAACGAATTTACAAGAATAAAGCAACATAGAAGTAAGGACAAAATGAAGAATGAAAAAAGTTCAAAGTGAAATGTAATAAAGACGAATATGAAAACAATAAAGTGACATATAGTTACAATAATAACAAATAATAAAGAAGTAGGCAGAATAAGAATAAAAGCAAGATAAATAGACTTTTGGCGGTAATTCCCTTCCATACATATCATCGAATAAGAAACACATGAAAGTATAATAATGCACCGTTTTACACGCCATAGATATAACTAGTATCGATATACCTTTTTCTTTCTTTTTGTTTTTTTTTTTTTTTTTTTTTTTTTTTCCTCAAAAGTGGTGTATACATTTTTACAAGGACCATTCCAATACTAATTTGCAGTTGTGGTCAAAATATGGCGCATGGAGCAAAATTCATGTGCACGCGATCATTCCGTAAATGATAACTCATCAAACCCCTTACTTTCGCAGATCCTTGTTTGGTGGTTGGTAGTGGGCTACTAATTTCGTCACTTTCTTCCTCGATAAAAAATTCACTACGATCTTTTGATATCCTGAATGGCCAAAATGATCAAAGGTTAAATTTGATCGATTTTCGTCGACGTAATTACACAAATGGTCCGGTTACCACACAGTCTTCAGATCGAATCCTGGGTAAACATGAATTAATTTCTTTTCAGTGCATGGGAGTCACATTTTAATTTACTATTGACTATAGAATTACCTTTTTATCACTAAAGTTATTTTGGTTTTCTGATCAAAGTAAAAAATCGAACAAACACCTGTACTCGGAGGAATCAATTAGCGGAGGAATTTCAGTTCAACACAAAAGAATTATTTATTAATATGTAAGCAGTCTCCAAGAAAGTTGCTTAATGGTTCAAGTTACCATATCATTTATCAAACATTTACATGTATAAAACATGTATAAAAATATAAGCATGTATAAAACATGTACATTTACATGTATAAAAACGGGGGGAAATGATTTTAGATTCCTTTTAGTTTTTACACAAATAAATGTAAAAGGCGCATCTGTGGATAGAATGAGTTTAAAATAAGACAGTGAAAGAGATACAAATACCTGAAAAACGGAAAAATTGGGTAAAAGTTAGTGAAAGTTGGCTATGCAACATTATTTTGGTACGAAAATAGAAATATTTAAAAGGATAATTACAAACTCACACCCAGTCTTCACATAAGTTATTCAAATATTGGCGACTAAAATTATTCCAACAAAGTGGGTACATATTGAAATTAACAGCTCTCATGCATTTTATCTAACAAAGTAGTAAAATTTATCAGTTTTTTGATTAATTTTATTTTGTATTTACAGTTATAGTTTGGTTCAAAGAAGCTATACCATTTTCAACAATATCCTTTTTCTCATGAAATTTTTCATCTCCCTGAAATTAGAAAAAAAACATGTCAAATTTTAGGACTGTTTTAAAATTAAAGTAAATAAAAGTGGAAATAAAGTAATTATAAGTTTTCCAAAAAAACATACATAGTAGACTTAGTCCATTTTCAGCCATTTTTAATGGCGATTCTAGGACTATTCATTTAACTTTATTTAAGAGTCAAAATATGGTCAAAGGTTAAAAATCAAATTATTCCAGATTTCCCTCAAGTTCATTAAATTTTCATCAATTTTAGCATGACTCTCTGAAAGGATTAGACCTGTTCTCCAGAGAAAAAAAAATCGTTCAAAAATCACTAGGATTGGGAAAGAAACTGTTAAAATCTATCACAATCCTACTTCCTTTGTAAGTTGTAAAATTTAGTGCTGATTTTGAAAAATATGTCAAAAGGGGATTTTAACTAGCTATCAAAATAAATTTTATCATTAAAGAAGGGCCTAAACTTGACCATAATCGTAACCTGTCCTTTATTTGTGATACCAAGAGTAGCGGTAAAATGTACGCCGTACATGTACTTAAAAGTACAATGAAAAACAACAACAAATTAATGTAAATAAGCTGTGAATTAAAGTTTAGTTTTGAAAAGTTTGTCATAAGAGGATTTTAACTAGCTATTAGAATAATGAATTATGTCATTAAAGTAGGGCCTACCCTTGGCCATAATCGTAACCGTTAAATACAAAGAGCAGTGGTAAAATGTAAGATATACATATGTATTTAAAATTTCATTGAAAAATAAAATACTATACAAAAATAGGTATAAACTCCTTATATACTAGTACTTATTACAAGAATATGATGATAATAAAACCTTTTGAACTTCCTTAAGAACTGCAAATGAAGATAAATAGAGATAAAGCGGCGACAGCAGTCTTCTGTCCACAGGTTTTTGTCTTGTACCACCTGAAAATGTTTCTTGATTAATCAAATGAATCTTTTTTTTCAGGAAAAACAAAAATATCAATAGCTTTAAAGGAGGGCCTTAACTTAATATAGAAAATATAGCATGACTACAGACACCAATTATGAACAGAAATGTAATATTTAATGTTCATTTTTATGATTAAGGATTTTGTTCATTAATTGTTAAATATACAGTATTCTCAAAGAAAAAATGTAAAATAAAAATAAAAATCTATACTTACCTGTAATCAAGCTGACGATGATTGCAATGGAGACGCCGATAATGACAGCCATGGAACTGTACCACAAGTACGAAATGTTGTATATTTCATTGTGGGTTTCCCTATAATTCAAATTATATCATAATGAAAAGTTATATATAAAAATAATAAACGTATTCTTTTTTAACAATAGGGGGTAAACAAGCACAAATAAGAACGTGAATGCAGTCAAAATTAATATTGAAGATTTATGCGAAGACAATTTTACCCTGTGGCATCGGACTGTGATTCTGTTGAAGAACTTGTTTGGAAAAATGAGGTGGTTGTGCTTAAAACGGAAGCAGTTGTTGAATTTAAAAAGGAAGTGGCATTTTTAATTGGACAAGTTACAGGTGGAGGAGAAGGTCGGTGAATAATTGCGCTGATGGAAAGCCAGAAAGTGAACGTCAGACTGCAAAGCGTACCTATACCGGCGCCCTAGAAAAGAAACAATCGAGGTGGGATATCTTTAACGTTACAAAGCTAGCACGTAAATACATTCAACATTGTAGATTATATTCTGTAAAAACTTTCAATACGCATTCATTGATGTCTTTTTAAAAGCAAAAATACTAGTACCCAATTGAATGGCATTCATGAATGAAACTGAAAAAAAAATGATTTAATATTTTATCAAAACTACCCAAGAATTAATGCAAGGAAAGAACATTGCCATCACAAAAAGTCCTAGTAAGGGACCTCCAACCATTCCAAATATACTGAGAGCGATCTGCAGAATCAGAGAACCCATTTGTTCCGCCAGAAAGGCCAATCCAATTGTTAGAAACCCATATATCAGAGCGATTAGCTTTGAGAGGAGGGTTGCTCTTTTTTCGTTGATGGGGGTCTTGGTAAAGTAATGGTGAAGAGGCCGGTAAACGTCAGTCATGAAAGTTAAGGCAAGGGCATTAACTCC